AGGTGTCGGACCCCCATTTTCTTGGGAGAAGTAGGGCAACGTCTGATGGGTAGTACCGAGATTGTGCTTCAGACGACCGAGCAGATTCAGCAGGTCAGACAGAGGTTACTAACGGCCCAGAGCTGTCAGAAGAGTTATGCGGATAGACAACAGTTAGAGCTCGAGTTCCAGGTCGGTGACTTCGTACTCCGGAAGGTATCTCCTTGGAAAGGAGTGATCCGATTCAGGAAGAGAGGCAAGTTGGGGCCTCGATATATTGGTCCTTTCAAGGTGACCGCTAGGGTGGGCAGGGTAGCCTACCGCTTAGAGCTGCCTGCAGAGTTGAGTCAGATTCACGATACCTTCCACGTGTCCCAGTTGAGGAAGTGTATCGATGATGAGTCAGCAGTGGTTCAATTAGAGGATATCCAGGTGGATACGGGTCTGAATTATATTGAGAAGCTGATTGCCATTCAAGATCGGGGGGTAAAGGTTTTGAGGAACAAGGAAGTGCATCTGGTTCAGGTCCAGTGACAGCATAGAAAAGGATCCGAGCTAACGTGGGAATTGGAGTCGGAGATGATTGATCAGTACCCTGAGCTGTTTGTAGCGTAAGAGTTCGAGGGTGAAGTCTGATTCTAGTGGGGGAGAATTGTAACATCCAGAGTTTCGAGTATGATTTAATTGTAATTATTTATTTAAGAAAAAGGAGGGGCTCGACGAGTTGGTGCCACGACTCGTAGAGTATGTGAGGAACTTTCCGCGAATCTTCGCGACCAGACTCGATGATTCGCGCATATGAATCGCCGAGTCTGCGCTGGCAATTGAAACCCTAAATCCCAGGTTTTGGAGCCTATTTAAGGGTACTCACAGCCTCCCATTGCAGCTACCAATCCCTTCAGGGAAACCCTAAGTGAGCTAAATCGTTTGTGAGGAAGGAGAGGCCATATTTGATCTTTCTATCATTGGTTTAGTAAGAAGAAAGTGATCAAGATCAAGAGGAGGCTGAAGGAGGTGCTATTTGGAGGAATTCTGAGCTCATGAGTGCTTATTTGAGGTATAATCTCGATTCATCTTCTGTTTTGGTGATTGTTTATAGAGTTAGGGTTTTCTAGACCCTTTGGTAGATGGTTTTGATTGAGTATATGGATCCTTTTCGTATTATGGTCTTGGATTTGGATCCATAGAGGTCTGGAGACCTTACTCCTTTGAGCTTTATGAGGATTGTTGGTGAATATGAACTTAAGATGCCATATTAGAGGCCATTTCTTCAAATAGAACCTTGGAGCCTTTGCATGGGCATCAAGCTTCAAACTTTACGTGGTTATTGAGACTAGAGAGGATAGATATATTGAGTAGAGCATCAGATCTATCCTCAGGAAGCCATTGGAAGTGAGCATGGATTGGACTCATCGAGTCCATGAACAAACTCGACGAGTCGAGTCGAGTTGTCCTGAGACTATAAGTCTAGAGAGTGACCCACCGAGTTAAGTGAGTGACTCAGTGAGTCAAAAGAGAATCAGCGGAGTAGAGTTCATGTGTAGACTCGCCAAGTCGCCCAAGTGCACTCGACGAGTTAGGTCAAAGTTTGACCGTTGACTTTGTTGACTTTGAGGGATTGGTCAACAATGGGGTCTTTAAGTCAAGAAAGGGGTAAAATGGTCTTTTACCCATCTGAGGATACTAAGAGAGGGTTGGGTCTAGTCTCGAGAGTTATATTTATGAGCGTGCTTTACTTTATGTGATTAGGCGGAGGCTAGACTATACTGCTACCGAGTCAAGGATTTACCAAGACATCTGAGGTGAGTCTTCTCACTATACTTTACCTTGAGTGGTAATTAGAGTTATATGATAGAGTTATTGTATGCTATTTATGTGATGTGTTGCACTGCTTTATTCCTATGTGATTTATGCCATGTGTATATCAGAGTACATCAGAGTTAGAACCGGAAGGTTCATAGAGCTAGGACTAGAGGGTCCACAGAGTTAGGGCCCAAGGGCCCACAGAGTTATAGCCTCGAGTGGCTAGTATGTGTTATGTGTGGAATTTTGGGGAACTTACTAAGCTTTATGCTTATAGTGTTATGTGTTTCAGGTACCAGTGATGATCGTGGGAAGGCGCCGGCATGATCTGTACACAAACCCGCAGAGTTATTTATGATTTGATCTTGGGAAATGTTTTGTGAAGAATGATATGATAAAATGAGATTTTATCAATGAATGTGTTTGGAAATGTGTTTTAAAATGCGAAAAATTGTCTTAATTTTTACGGTGTTACACTTAAGTTGGTGAATGCATAAGTATTTTAGTGTCAAGTGTTTGCATTTGTTTCATGAAAATTTTTGTATCTGACTAGTGAAAATGTTTGTTTCTTTCCCAGATAATCCTATATTTACTGCATTAAATGAAAAGCAGTCTTCTACCGAGAATCAACTGTTTGGATGATCTGTTTTCTTGAAAAGTGTAAAATGTATGTTTGTACTTGAACTAGTATAAATGTATGTTTTCCGCATTTGTAAAACTATCATTACTTGAAAATAGTATGCATTTCTCGTGTGAGAATATCACTATACGAATGTAATGGAAAATTGAAGATTTACAGTAGTATGGTATAAAATACACTACTGATGCATTAACTACCTTGAAAACTAACTGGTTAATTATAGTTAAAATGTGATTAGGTTGTAACAATGCTTGATAGAATAGTATAAAACACGACGTTTTTCTGGCATCAAAAATGAAATGACATTTGTCACTCGTAGACCTGCAGGTCCTATTATAGCTAGTACCAAGGTGTGGGATGGTTAATCCCATGTAGATCTATACAAAAACTCATGCTCTCCTCCCATGAGACTCTGGTTACAAAACATGACATAGCAACAGTATTGCTATGCCATGAAATAGTATTTCACATTTTAGTTATCTTGTTCTTGTTATAGTATGTAAGTTCCTTCTTGTTTTTGTAAATGAATAGTATGCTTTGTAACGAATAGTAATAGTATGTATGTATTGACTCATGTATTGTTTCTCTGTTCTAGCAATAGTATGTAGTGATCCTCTAAACTATACCTATTATAGTTTACTAGTATATTTGTTTGAACTATTATTGATTCGCAGAAAAGACTCAGTTCCCAACATATGTAACCGAGTTAAGTATATTTCTTGAAAATGAGGTTTAATATTCAAACATATATTTAGCAAGTATTACTATGATTCAACCTACAACTGGACTAGTGATCCTACTCTAAGCCTACAACCAAAAAAGGAACAAGAGTTACTGTATTTAGCAATAGTATTAAGTCCATTAAAAGATACTTATACATAAATATGTGCACGAATATGATTTTGATATAATTGAAATCTAAAAATAGTTTAAAAGAGTTTTTAAAGTGATTTTAACATTTGAGTATGAGATATCCTTTTTGTTTGTTTGTTTCAACATGTAAATAAATAACACAAATATATTGTTTTCTACTTGTATTCCCCCCCCCTAAGGCATTTAAAAGAGTAAATTGTAGGGGTATGAACTCACCTTTTGGGAGTGATTCGATAGAGGGTTTGATATAGGATGATTGTTTCCACAAGCTAGTTCCTAGGACAAAACAAGTCCAAAATAGCAATTCACACTATATAAAGGCATGAAATTAGTGAATATAACCTCTAAGGAATTAAGGAAACAACCTAGGATGTAAGAATTACTTACAAAAGAAGATTTAGAACCAAAATCAGGTGGCTAACTGGAGTTTACGAACAACGTTTGGTGTTCACGACCGTAAAGGGTTTTCGGCCCTTGAGGATTCAAGTGTTTTCGGTTGGAACTTGGGTGTGTTCTCTATGTTTGATTGCGAACTGAAGGTCACTAGGGTGTGTTCTCTGCAGCATTACTTTTATCTGTGCCCCGCAGACAACGTGCAGACTTTTATCACCGCAGACTGTTTGTTTTTACGAAAGGCTAAGATCTAAAAGCATCTGCACGATGTTTTCACCACACAGACATGGACTACCCACTTCTCACATTTGTGAGCTTTTAACCTAAAAAAACACCGCTACTTCTATTATTCCAGTCGACGCCTTGAAAGAACTCATCATCACCATCGACGCCTCAACCCTCACTCCCCCACCGATCTCCCTGCCAGCGCTCTCCACCAACCAGGACTCCGACCAGGACTCCGACGCCGACCAAAACGCCAGATAGTGCTGCGCTACTTCTTCCTCTTGGTTGTCGGACTTCACAACATTTGAAGGTATGCATTGTTTCCTTTTTTTTTTTTCAAATCTCACAAGAAATTGGTGTTTATTCTTGCTAAAAAGTCTATAATCTAATCAAATTTGTTGATTATTTTTGCTTAAAATTGTTATTTTTATCTTAAATTTGATGTTAGATGTTGCTTAGAATGCTTGTTTTTCTCAAAATTGTTGATTCCTTTTCATTTCTTGCTTAAGTTTCTTGTTAAATGTTGCTGAAAATCTATAACATTGATGAAATCAAGTTTTTTTCTTGATTATAATATGAAAAATTGTGCTGTAAATATGAAATATTGTTATGAATATTGTGATTATTGTTGAAAATACTTTTTATTGTTTCGAATTGTTGTTTAATATGCTGAAATTTGTTGTTGAGAATTGTGAATGTTGTTTATTCTTGCTGAAAAGTCTATAATCTAGTCAAATTTGTTGATTATTATTGCTGAAAATGGTTGTTTTTTTCTTAAATTTGATGTTAGATGTTGCTCAAAATGCTATGAATTGTTGTGAAAATTGTTGTTGAAATCAAGTTTTTTTCTTAATTAAAATATGAAAAATTGTGCTGGAAATATGAAATATTGCTATGAATGTTGTGATTTTTATTGAAAATACTTTTTACAATACCTTATAAAATCTTATTTGTCTATGATATATTGGTTATTAGAAATGATAGAAAAAAAACAATGGACCAATGAGTATTTAAAATGCTTATTGGATACTTGTATTGAAGAAGCAGAGAGTTTTGGTAGAAGAGGATTGAGTTTGTAGAAAGATTCATGGATAAGGTTTGGAAGAGTTCTTAAGGAAAAATGTAGTGCAGATTTGAGTCAAAAACAAATAAAAAACGCATATGACAATCTGAAAGCCAAATACATAGGATGGGTATATTTAAAAAACAAAACTGGTAATATATATAATTCTCAAACAAACACTTTTAACTTAACAGCCGAGGAGTGGGATGATTTTAAGAAGGTACATATACATTAATATATATATATATATATATATATATATATATATATATATATATATATATATATATATATATATATATATATATATATATATATATAATAAACATTTATGTTTGAAGTTGCCAAATATTCTTATAATATTTTCTATTACATTTGGGTTTAGGGGCATCCAAAGGCTGCTTCATTGAAAACAATTACATTCCCTTTTCCAGATCTTTGTGCATGTCTTTTTGATGGAAATAGTGGTACTCGTAATTTTAGGAGTTACTCAACCCAATCCTAATCAGTAGCTGAAGCATCCTCTTGTAGTGCTCCACCACTTTAGATTACCGCCACCCCCTTTCTTGCAATAAATGATGATGGTGATGATACTTCCCATCATGCTAGTGAACCACCACTTTCTGCTGCTTCACCTTCTGTTGCTTCCCCTTCTGCTGGTTCCCCTTCTGTTGCTTCACCTTCTGATGCTTCACCATCCGGTAACCTCAACAAAAGGGCTAAACCCTCAACTCCTACAGCTCCTAGTGCCTCACCGTCTGCTTCTTGTCCTGATAGAACTTTTATTACTGCCGATGATTTAGCATTTGAAATGAAAAAAGCTCTACAAAGTTTGACTAAAGGGTATACAATTCCTTAATGTTTAGAGAAGTTAGAGGTGCTTCAGTTAGGCCCTACAGATCCTTTACACTTTGTTGCATATCATATTTTTGGAGGGACCATGAACATGAGAGAGATGTGAATGCATTTTCCCGATGTTCCCGAGATATTACGAGGATGGCTTGAAACTATTTTGTTAGTTTTTTTTTCTTTTGTTGGAACTATTTTGTTAGGTCTTTTTGCCTTTGTTGGAACTATTTTTTTTTTTATTTTTCTACTTGGAATATGGTTTATCTAATATTTTTGTGCTACTTGAAATATGAGTAATGTAATGTTTATTTGCTACTTGAAATACGGTTTATGTAATGTCTTTTTGCTACTTGACATATGATCAATGTAATGGTTATTTGCTACTTGAAATACGATTTATGTAATGTTTTTGGTTACTTGAAATATAATTATTGTAATGTTTTTTAAAGTTATACTTTGTTGATTTTAGGTTCATAACGGATCACGATTAAAACTTACTTCTTGTAATTCTTATGTACCTATACATCCATTATTTATGGAAGAGGAGTGTGAAACGATTGCGGGATAATGATTCGGAAATAACGGGACATGAATACACATTGGAGTTATTACATCGTAACCGTTTACAATTTGTTGAAGTACTATGCATGTCCCGTGACTCTTTTGTACAACGGTGTGCACATTTTAGAGCAAACTACTCATTAAAGGACACCAAACATGTATCTGTTGAGGAAAAGATGGCTATGTTTTTTATGATGATCGGCCATAATCAACGTTATGTGATTATCAAGCGGAGATTTCAACACTTGAAGCAAACAATTCATAAATTTCTATGAAGTGTTGGAAAAAATGATGTTTTCGCACAAGATGTTATAGTACCAACTTCTTTTAATCGGAATCCAAACATTCTGGGACATAATAGGAGGCTACGATGGGTTTTCAAAGGGGCGGTTGGTGCACTTGATTGCACTTTGATACATGTTGTTGACTCTGCTAAGAAACCAGACTTATATAGAAGTAGGGGAAAGGGAGATTGCTACCAAAACATATTTGCAATTTGTTACTTCAATATGATTTTTACATTTGTTGTGACCGGGTGGGAAGGGGTAGCGCATGACTCTGGAATGTTATCAAAAGCAGTAGCCGATCCACAAGCATAATTCTCGTTTCCATCACCATGTGATTTTTGTTTTTTTAAAATATGTTTATTTTTGTTTGAAAATTGATAGTGATTTGCATTTTTTACAGAAAAATATTATCTTTGCGAAGCCACGTATGAACATGCTCGAGGATTTATGGCCCCTTATTGTAATGTGAGGTATTGGCTTGGAGATTTTCGTCAAAGACATGCATTGACAAATAAAGAAAAATTTAATCATGGACATGTAAAACTTCGGAATGTCATTGAGCATGCTTTTGGTGTTTTGAAAGCACGCTTCCCTATATTGAAGAGGATCACAGTATTGCCGTTTGTTCCAGAAAGAAACATTGCCATGGCATGTTTTGCGCTTCATAATTTTATAAGGAGAGAAGGACTGAGTGATGAGTATTTCACATGATACGATGAACCCAATGTCTCGTTTCGAAATAACAATGTGGCTGTTGATGATGATGAAGACGGGATTCCAACACTTGGTACTACAGCAGACTGTGAATATATGACTCAATTACGGATGAAATTGCTGAGCAGTTGATGCACAATATAGATTGAATTGTTTTAAATGAAATTGTTATTGTAAAACCATTTTTTTTTATTGTATGACCGTGAATATATGACTCAAGTTGCATGAATTTTATTTTCAGTGTTGTATGACTATTATTAAAAAACAATTGGTGTTAAAAAATCATTTGAAGTTTGTAAAATAAGTTTATTTAAAATTCAGTTTATTTTAGCAGCCTGCAGATATTAAAAAAACAAACAATCTTTTTATTGAAAACTGCAGATGTTTGGTCCACCTCTTCTGCTGCAGAGGCTTGCAGATGTCGTCCGCAAACTATAGACAATTTGGCTTTAGAAAAACAAACAGCACCTGGATGTCCTTAACAAGATCCGAAGGTGGATTGGATGATCTTTGGATAGTAGATTAAAGAGAACTTGGGTTTTCGGTTGAAGATATTGGAATAAAAGTCTTGAGTTTTCAGCTAGAAGTGAAGAAGTGATGAAATTTCTTGTCAAACATATATATATATATATATATATATATATATATATATATATATATATATATATATATATATATATATATATATATATATAAGGGAGGGTTTGTGGTCCGAAATGGTTCACACCCCGAAGGAGTTCACAGCCAAGAACAACAGACGTTTATGGCTGCGAAGGCTCATTTGCAGTCCGAGAGTTTACTACCCTACGAAGGTTTGTGGCTCATGTGAAGGTTCTCGATTCCCAATGATTTTCCCCCAAAAATACATATCACACTTGAATACAAGGTCTAAATGCCTATAATTCATTACCCTAACTATATTAAGATAAAAAGAAATGAGTTTGACCTTTATTGGATAAGTTTGACTTTAGTTGGCCAAGTTTGACTTTTACAAGATAAAAATTATGGGTTGTCACATCATTCCCCCGTTAAAGGGAATTTCAACCTGTAATTAAGACTAAGAAAATGCATTGACTAAGGGAAAAGATGAGGATACTTAAGTTTCATTTGATCCTCCCGCTCCCAAATGAATTCGGGACCCCGCTTTGCATTCTAGCAAACGTTCATTATCGCAATACGACTTTGCTTGGTTTGTTTGACTTCCCTATCCATGATTTCTACGGGTTCTTCCATCAAGTATAGGCTCTCATTGATCTCAATTTCATCGAGTGGGATAACAAATAGTCTCGTTAGATAGACACTTCTTTAGGTTTGACACGTGGAAAGTAGGGTGTACTTCGTTAAGTTCTTGAGGTAGTTTTAGTTTGTAAGTCGTGGGGCCGATTCTTTCGAGAATCTCAGAAGGCCCAATGTACCTTGGATTTATTTTGCAACGCTTTCCAAAGGATATCATGCCCTTCCAGGCCGAGACCTTCCATAGGATACGGTTGCCAACCTAGAATTCCAAGGGTTTTCGTCGTTTATCTGCATAGCTTTTCTATCTGTCTCGCGACGCTTTTAGCCGCTCCCTAATTTGTACGATCTTCTCTGTAGTCTCTCTGATGATTTATGGACCGGTGAGAGTGCTGTTAGGGACTTTCCCTTTAGCTAACTGAGTATCACCAACCTCAGCCCAACACATAGGTGATAAACACTTATGACCATAGAGGGCTTCGTATGGAATAGCCTTTATGCTAGTGTGATAACTATTATTGTAAGAGAAAACAACAAGCGGTAAATGAATATTCCATATCTTTCCAAAGTGTATCACACAGGCTCGTAACATATCTTCAAGAGTTTGAATAGTCCTCTCACTCTGTCCGTCAATTTGTGGATGGTAGGTTGTACTCATATCCAGCCTAGTTCCTAGTGCCTTCTATAGTGACTGCCAGAACCTCGAGGTGAATCTACTATCTCTATCAGAGATAATCGATATGGGCACACCATATAGTAGCACTATCTCTCTAAGGTAGGTTCTGTTCAGTTTCTCCATTTTTATAGTTTCCTTAATTGGTAGGAAGTGTGTGGATTTGGTTAACCGGTCCATGATCGCCCAAATGGTATCGAGACCACCATTTGTCTTAGGCAGCTTGGTTATGAAGTCTATTGTAATCCGCTCCTACTTCCACTAAGGTATCTCTAATTGTTGTAGTAAACCTGAGGGCTTTTGATATTCTACATTAACTTTGGCGAAAGGAAGACACTTTCCCACAAAGGTAGCAATCTCTGCTTTCATGTTAGTAACTTTTTGAGATCCAGATACATGTTATCTAAACCTGGATGAATGGATTATCGAATATTGTGTGCTTCGTTCATGATCAAGTCTCTGAATCTACCGAGTTTCAGTGTCCAGATCCGATCCATGAGGTATAAGGCTCCATCACCTTTGACTACTAAGTTCTTATCCATCCATCTCATGGATTCAACTACCACATTATCAGGTTTGAAGCCTTCCTATTGAGCCTCCTTAATCTGCATGGATAGATGTGACTAGATTGTCATAGTTATTGCCTTGACTCTACGACTTGAGTACTCTTTCCGATTTAGGGTGTTCGCTACCACATTATCTTTACCGAGATGATAATGAATTTTTCATTCGTAGTCATTTAGTAGCCTGACCCATAGTCATTGTCTCATGTTGAGCTTCATCTGATCGAATATATGTTGAAGGCTTTTGTATTCTGTAAAGATAGTGCTTTTCGTACGATACAGGTAGTGTCGCCAGATCTTTAGAGCAAATACCACTGCTCCTAACTCAAGATCATGTGTAGTGTAGTTGACTTTATGTTTCTTAAGTTGTCTTGTGGCATAGGCAGTCACATTTACCTGTTGCATAAGAACACAACTAAGCCCTTTGTTGGATGGATCACAGTAAACCACGGAATCTTCTATCCCTTCTGGCAGGGATAATATCGGTGCGCTTCATAAGGCTTGCTTCAGCCTTCGAAATGCCTTTTCTTGCATCTCTTCCCAGTCAAAGGTCACACCTTTGGTCAAAGTGGTAAGTGGTTTCGCGATCCTTGAGAAGTTCTGAATAAATCCGTAATAGTAGCTAGCGAGGCCTAAGAATTGACGGTTTTCCGTATGCGTCCTCGGTGTTGACCAGTTCTCGATGGCCATGATTTTGGAAGGATCCACGTGAATTCCCTCTTCGCTAACCACGTCACCCAAAAAATTGACTCTTTGAATCCAAAATTCACATTTAGAGAACTTTGTATAAAGCTTCTCTGCTCGTAGTGTTTCCAAGGTCTATCGTAAGTGTTGACTATGATCCTCCTTACTACGTCAGTATATAAGTATGTCATCATTGAATACTATGACAAAATTATCTAAGTAAGGACGAAACACCGGGCTCATCAGGTCCATGAACATTGTGGGCACATTGGTTAATCCTAAAGGCATCACTACG